TGTTACATCATATTCAAAATATTTGACACAGAAAATCCCGCAATCACCAGAGCCAACCTGTTGCGGCACCAATGCTGCATGACGAACGAGCCATGGTAGGTTTGGTAAGGTCGGCCTTTGTACCATAACACCAGCCCTGTGCATTAATGTCGGGAGGACGACACTCATGGGCTTCAACTCGGCCTCCATAACCGCCTGCGGGGTGTTCGCCCTCAGTAAATCCCACACGACAATCTCCCCTCTTCCATATCGATGCAAACCATGATCCAATAGTTTCTACCGATGTTGAACAGTAGGTAGACAACGTCCAATTCAAGCCACCGTTTTTGGTAGTCTGTGTAAGTCCCGTCTATGTAGCTAAGGACGATTTTATATTTCCCAATCCAATTGTATTCCGCTGCAACTCTGGCTGGCACTGCGTTCAAGGCTACCAAACGTTGGTACAGTCCGTCGGTTTATTGAAAGAAGTTCTGTAATAGGTGTCGAAGACATGTTAGAACATAACTTACTATGCATATACGCGGCGTATAAGAACTATATATTACGAACCGCAAGGACTATGTCACCAGTGGTGAACTTTCGACAGCATAAGTCTGGCCATTGTTAAAGCTTGTTCCACATGAATATGACCAGCGAATCCACCACCTATATGGGTTACCATTGTTAGGAAATAATAATTGTCAAGGTAGCATAAATGAGGGTTTCGACCTCGTACCTTACTCGTCAACCAGTTATCCGACATGAGAAGGTCGCATAACCACGTCTTTCCTTGAGCACCGTAACATGAATTTCTGAAAGAATGGTCAGTATTCTAGTTTGCCATCCATGCATGAAACTTTTTGACTTGATCGGGGGGGGACATACACAAATGGATCATACCGAGTAACCTTCTTTCATTTCCTATCCACCAGAACTTGGAACGATTCCTGAAGCTTCCATGGCAGCTTCCTCTTTCGTGACTCTCGTCGAGGTTTAAGCCGTTCAATCGGCTGCAAGGTCAAACGTACTACATCCGATTCCGCTTATGATGTAGTAGATGTATTCTCGACAGTTTGAGATTGAACTTCTCTCGGTTCTTCCAGATCCGAGTCGGTGAAATCGTCTACATATTGGTTCTACAGAAAATATGTTAAAAGATGAAGTGCTTTATTAAAAGGTCGACTACGGAGAATAAATACCTCGTCTTCGAATTACTTGGAGTAATGTGAATCTATAATGATAGATTAAACCGGTGTGCACTTGCCAGGACCTTGTTCAAGAGGGGCATTCTCGCCACGAGCATGTTTGCCTTGGGATACATGCATGCCTTCCTCCCCACGCGCATCTTCAGTTTCCATACCCTTCTCTTCCTGCACGTCCTTTTCATGTTCGTCTTGCTTACACAACAAGTCACGTGCATGTTGCTTCAAATATGACACATGCAGACCTTATTATTACTAGATTAAGACTTAGCATTTGAAATGGAGAAGTAACAAAATGTACCTTTTGTTTTGGTGTGCAATGGCCACCCGATGTTGCTTCCAATTCAGGTTTTTCCTGATAACTCTCCTAAAGAGAGTTAATTGTGTCTAAAAGTTACATAAAATAGTTAAAGATAGCCTCATGTAGCCTCCAATATTCAAAGAGTTGTGCCTATTTTAGAAGATAAATTAATGTTCTCATATGTAATGTTAGCACTCGTATAAATGATCTGATTTTGAGCATTTTGCTGCAACTTTAATGATGCTACAACATCGGTTCTAGAAAGAGAAAAAAAAGCAGCAAGCTACCAGTGAAAAGTCTTCTCAACTTCATTTACCGTAGTAACTGAAGGTTTTGCCTAAGAGTAAAAGCTGGGTCCCACAKGACTTGTTTTGTTGCCCTAAAATCAGAAGGAGGTATAAATGCCAACAAGAGAGAAGCCTCCAGAGAAAACAAGACAACTCCATTGCTCATTTTTTAAGGAATCAACCCTCACTCCAAGAAAACCTCCCCAACCGTTAGAGAAAGTGAAGAGGAGAAGAAGACAATTATCAGCAGTTGAGAAGAGGTCGCGAACTCTTATTGGGAACCGACCTCTCTTCATTTTTAGCGTCTTTCTATTGTTTTTATTCCTACATTTTTGACCCTCCTTATGGCTTTGTCCAGCTAAACACCTTGTGTGAGGGGGAGATGTTGTGAACCCATTTTCTGGATTGTAACCTTGTTGTTTTGCATTAATGATAGTATGTTTTGAGTTGAAGTTGATGTATCACTCTATTTTCGATGTGTTTGATCACTATGTTGAAATATCTCTTTGATAACCTTTGGAAAAATGTATTAGGGAGCGAAAAACCTTCATCTCGAGCTAGAGTCTACTTGAGTTTAGAGTGTGGTGACTTAGGGATAAGCAATCACCTAGCTTGAAACTGTGCATGTATGCTGTTATTGTTTGTCTATGAACTTTAATGGTAGAAAATTTGGGGTGTTTGGAAGAACATATTGTCTTTTTGACCACTGAATTCACTCCAGTAATGCTGCAACATAGTTAAGATGGTCCAGAAAGAGTTGACGTCCTCTCCCACTTGCGCCTTTATTTTCATAAGAACTTACTTAACGAGTGTGGATTTTTGTTAACTCTAGCGAGAACTTTACGCGTGGTTGATATAATATATGTATTTAACTAGCTTTTATTCGATGCATTTTAGCCACTCTTCAGAAGAAAGATTACTTAGTTTATAGCATTGATTTCTTAGGTGAATACTGGGTGTTTGAGCAAGTAGTCTCTGTGGATTCGAACTTTTTATTACTTGTTGCGACGATTGTGTATACTTGCACATAGAAGAATTGGTAGCATAGTTTGTTAGACAACAGTTTCGCCTCGTGATCAAAATGAGGTGATTCTCTCTCATGCACGCCTGAATCTGGAGGATCAATGTTCATATCATCGGTGGCTTCACCGTCCATGGCAGATTGTTTAGAATCATCATCGCCACTGGGTCCATCACCTCGTCCATCGTCATCGGTTCCGTCACCCCGTCCATCGTCACCACCAGTGTGTTCGGCATCCCGTCCGTCCCCCGACCTAGACCGTCTCATGTCGTTGGGATCTACAGGTAAACCCTAGAAAATGCACTGACATATTAATATATAAAAAAAACTTTCAATCGTACGTTAATTATGATAAATGACAAAATAAATTACCTTAGCTATTCGGCGAAGAAATTTTCGAATGGATTTCAATTCAGCCTCAATACTACCCATCCGATCGTCCATATGCTTGTCTATGCACTTTAAACGTTTTTCCACTATCTTCAGACGCACACTGGACATGTGTCCCTTCTTCTCACTCTTACTTCTCTTAGTCTCATTCTCCTGAACCTCCATATCGATGTCATCACCCTTATTCCCCTTACTATTATTTCGTCTTATTCTCCTCACTCGCCTTATTTTTCACACCCTGATCGACATTCACACTACGTCCCCCAGCGCCGTTCTCATTTCCTCCACGTGTTGTTGATGATTCAACAGCATTGCTTCCATGCAAACCTTCGACCATAACTTCGTTGTCCTCCGATTCGGGTGGGTAGAAGGGCTTATTAAAGAAGCTCATCTCCGCATCAGTTTGATTTAATGTTAGCGTTTTTGCCTACACAAATGGTAAGTTATTGATGACGTGAAAATGAAAACTAATTAATAAATAGTTATAATGTAAATTCAACTTACAATAGAAGACCGAAAAATCTCTCTGGCCAGTACGTGATATACAGTCAAATGGCCACACCTCCACCGGAGGATGCGTGACACAGCATTCTGACTTACTTTAGTTGCAACACGCTCCGATAGAGAAGATAGAGTCTCATACACCCACACCTGTACAAATACACGATGGATGTTATAAACCACAATAGAAAACAAAAAAAACAAAGAATATAGTATTTATGTACGTACCTAGAACGCCCATGAAAAACCATAGAGACTATATGATTTCCTCAATCCTCCCTCCTTTGACTTCTTGGACACGCCACGCTACAGACTATAGATTGTCTACTTGAACGACAACAATGCCCAATCGTGGTTGCAGAAGGCTTCCCAATCATCCACTATTCATAGTAAAATATGGTCAAAATTAAGGCTTCTCTCTCTCCTCAACAGAACTAACTCTACAAAGTATACTATTGACACCTTAACTACATCAAAGTCATCCTCGAAGCACATGGATGTATAGGGGCTAAAATGAACAAAAATTTAAAGTATAGAGACCAAAATTAACATTTTAAAAGTATAGAAACTAAAATAAACCAAGACTAAAAATACATAAACCAAAATAATATTTTAACCTCAAAAAATCAAAATCTTACACTAGTGAGATCTTAAGAGACAACTTTTATTTTTTGGCTATAACTATTTCAACTTTCTTTCTTGAGGTTGTTTTTTTTTTTTTGAAAATGGTTTTCTAGAATTGTAAATATATAAATCAATATCATATCATATAAACCAAGTTTTATAAAACTTATCTTCTATCATATTTTTTTAATAAAACATATCTTCTATCATATTCCTACTCATGTTGTACTAAATAAAAATCAATATCATAATCAATTATCCATAATCTATGTTTTCTCTAGTCTCTTTTTAAAACTACAAAGACTAAAACGAATCTTTTGAGAGTATATAGACTAAAATAAATCAAAATTAAGAGTATAGGGATCAAAATAAATAAAATAAAATCTAATATCTATAACAGTATTAAACATTTTCTTTTATTACAAAGGACGAAACGAGAAACAAAAAAAAAATGTTAAATGGATTCCAACAGAGGAAGGTTTTAGTGTCGAGTGTTTGAGAAATAATTAATAGTATTTTTAATAATATATCAAATCAACATCCGTCATTGTGGGCTTGCCGGAGTCGTTATCGGGTATGACTAGAAATCATGTGGGCTCTGCCCGCGCAGGTTCGAATCCTGCCGCTCACGTTTTTCAAATGTTACCATTTTTTCCCTTCGTTTTTTGCAACTGCCCGGAGATTTTCATTATTCATCACAATTTCTTACATCCAGAAACCAAATCTCATTTTTACATGTATTGGATTTTGGATTCGACATACGATTGAATGAAATTTATCGGATTCCGAAGATAATTCCCATTTCTTCAGTTTTGTCTCAGCTGGGTTTTCGCCTACACAAAGAGGGAATTTGAATTGATTGCCCGCAAGAAAATGGCGTCCATTTTCAGGTAAAACCCACGCCTGATTAATCAATCAATGGCTGAAATTTGATTAGGCTTTTTCAAAATTTTCTTGTTCTTGCTTTGTGAAGTTTTAAGATATTATTTCGCATCGATTGCACAGGAGTGGTTGTCCAGTGGCTTCACGTCTCTCTCAGCCATGATTGATGACTTTTTTTTTTTTGGTATAATCTTTCCCATTGTAATCATGAAGAAACGACCAAAAACGGGATTGCTTTCGACCTCAAGTTGTGCCACTCCTCTGGCTCCGCCCTAAAGATCAATTTCTTTGCCTTATCCAAACTCGTACTGTTTTATATTTAATTTCTTATGGGGTTTTTATTATATGTTCAATAATGGACTGGTTTGAACGAATCTTCCGTTCCTTTTCTTCATGTCCCTGCTGTTGAGCCCACCCTTTTCTTTTTCTGGGTGGAATCTGTCAGATCAGAACCCATGAAATCATTTGCTTCACCGTGTTAGATCAGATAGTTTATGGCATCGGAATCAACTTGGATATTGGAAATTTGGGAGTTAAAAAGAGTCAATTTCTTCTGTTTTGGACAGGGAAATGGCATATCCAAGAGATCAACCTTATCTTGTCAACTGCTATGTACATGTGCGATCGAAACCCATTTGAGTTTTCTTTTGTTTTCTTTTTTTTTTTTTTTCCCTTCCTTGTCTCTCATAAGTCATATTCAACTTGGATTTGAAGACAGGCACTGAGAGGGATTACCATTGGTTGTGAGGAGAAGAAGAGAACCTGGGTCAGATAATATAATGAACATGGAGTGCTTGTGAATTTGCATTATCCATTAAAGTACACGTGGCACAACAATATATGTCCAATTAGGATCACATGTGGACCACACTTGGCACTTATCCTCCTATGTTCTCATAGGAAAGCATGAGGATGATATTATTATTTTGAATGCAAAGACTAGAAAAAAGTGAATGAGGAAATTTCCAAAAGAAAATTCCCAAACTATATCTTTGTTATACTAATAAGGAGGGGGGGAAGGAGGCGGCTTCTATATTCTTCTTTCTTTCTTTCTTTTTTCTATTCTATTCTTATTTTTCCCACCCAGTGATGATGGCACATGGGTGACACTGCAGCAGCCGTTGCTTTCTTCTTATAAATAGTGAGTTGAGTGGTCAATTTGGATATATCTCACAGTCTTAGCAGGTTGGCTCCTTTAATAGATCTTTATATGCATAGTCTCTTGCTTTCATTTCTCACTCTGTTGTTCTCATTCAATAGGGTGTGGTGGAATCTGCGAGTGATTTTGTTTAGCAAGAAGGAAAGATTGAGGGAAAATGGAGGGAAAGTCTAAAGGGTATCAAACCTCCTCTTTCGTTGCGGATCTTTTCGATGTCAAAGAGCCACCATTGTCATCAGCATCAGGAGTTTTTGCAGCAATCTTTCCATCTCCACAGAAGGTAATGCTGCTATTTCTAAACTGCTCTCCTCCATGTAGAACTTTCTTTCTCCGTTTCAAATAGGTTTATATTTTCTCATTACATGGTGAGGATTTGGAAATCTTTTTGCAGAATGTTAAGAGAATGCTTATTGAAACTTCTTTAGTTAACTGCAAAATCAGCATTTTTTGAAGTTCATTGAATAAGTGCCCTCTATTTTTTGCATATTAGTAAGCATATGTTCTTCTCCTGAACTTTGTGGCTGATTTGGCATATGGTTACTTGAGCCCAACTTCCAATGAGTACTACGAGTTTGTTACCGGAACCACGTGGCAAACTTTTACATGTATTCCATTGTAGTTCTTATACTTTTAAGTGGTCAGTTTTAGTCCTTCAACTTTTATAAATATTCATTTCGGTGTATTTTGTCAATTGCTTTTATTACATAATTTCTAGATTTGGTACCAAACTTGGTCACAAATTTGTACTAATGATAAGGACTAAAACAAACTTTTATATAAAGTTAAAAACAAAAAATAGAACATCTCAAACTACAGGATCAAGATGACGACTAGAATAAGATTTAAGCACATCTTATAGTCTTCCTTTATCTTATCTTTGAAAATGGGTAATTATACGGATCGGATGGTTCAGGTGTGACAAAGTCATTGTGAAATCATCCTTTTCATAACATTATTATTTTCCTAATTTTCAGGGTTCTAGCTCTGGGAGTTGGCCAAAACAGACCAATGAAAATCAACCACAGCACACCAAACTAGGAAATTCAGGTGTGTGAATTTAAGTATCAATCCCGTTAAAACTGATTGACAGAAGGGTACGATATGCAAATTCACAAACCACATGAATGGAACGTTTGAAACTGTTTTGAAAATGTATGAGTATAATCTACAAAATTGGTAAACTGCAAGGGTACAATTTAAATCAAGTTATAGCTAACAAAAACCAGATGTGATGATACTTTCAAGGAGGGAGCTTGGAGCCATGTCATCTGAGTTCATCTCTATACTATGGAGGGCAAGATGGGTACTCCCATGCCCCACCAGCTGGACCATCCCATGCTCCACCCCCCACTGTGAGTCTAGTTTGTTGATCATTGTCAAAAATGCCCTGCTCTGCTCTGCTATGATGTGACTTCTATCAGACAGACTGATCAGAAAGTGAAAGTAAAAGCTGATTGTTGTTCTTCTGTTTTTGTCAATTCATTGATGACCCAGTTGAAGAAAAGTGGGGGAGAAGATGACCCAACTGGAAACAACTCTCAAACTGCTTCCAGGGGAAATTGGTGGCAAGGTAACTATTGTAATAGGTGAAGTCCTAGAAATCTGCTTACTGATTCTTTTTAGTCTCTGACATCAAATATTTTGTAGGTTCCCTTTATTATTAGGACCTCCACTTTACCTCATGAATTCCCACCTATTTTCTAAGGTATGTCGTCAGTCATTTACTTCTGCTGTCATGTTGTCTGTGTAAATGCATACTTTGAATCCTCTCTGTTAGTTCTGATAGGTCGGAGTGAATTTGAGATGTCTCTTCGATGATACAGCGTTTACTTACCCCTCATATATTCTGTCAATGAATGAAACAATTATTGAAAACTTAGGACTTGTTTGGCAACATTCTTGTTTCCTTTTTTTCAGTCAAGAAAAACATAATTGTGTTTGATAGTTATTTCTTGTTTTTTATTGAAAAAATAAATGGAACATGGTTTCCCTGTTTCTGTTTCTTGTTCTCTAAAATTTTAAATAAAAAAAAATCTATATGAAATTTAATTTTTCTAATTAAATATTCAAAATTTTTATGTCATATATATACTTTGATATTTATTATGCATTTTATGAGTCAAAAATGATAAAATGATGCTTGTATCTCTATTTTGGAAAAAACTTAAAACAGGAGGAAGAAACTTGATTTTGTTGTTTTCAAAATTTCAACGCTATCTTGAAAACACTTCTTAAAAATGTGAAATAAGAAACATGAATATTACCAAATACTTATATTTTAAAAAAATTAAAAACAAGAAACAAGAAACGAGAACATTATCAAATGAGTATATAGAATTTACCATTAACGAAGACAGGAGAATAAGGTCGAACAAGAACAAGACTTCTCTTTCTAAGTCAAAAAGTTGAGTCACAATCAGTTTCATGTTATTTAGTAATGATTCCTTGAGTTGAGACATCAAAGGTTGAGAGTTCAATTGGAACCACCACACTTCCATCATCCATGTCTTTTCACCCACTTGATATTATGAAGCTTAGAAGCTGCTTTCATGTAGGCCCACTAGTATATCAATAGGAAAATTTCAAACATTTAGTCACATTATCATTTAATCGATTGTATTTATTAAACCCGTATTACGTTGATATGTCACTGCCGTGGCAAGAGTCAGGAAGTTTTAGGAGTTAATTTGGTAGCATTCTCATTTCTGATTCTTGTTTCTCATTTCTATTTTTTTGAGATATACGTGCGTTTAGTTATATTTCTTATTTTTCATTAATACATGAAAGGTCACAAATGACTAACTATACCTCAAAGAACTTTACATCGAACCTTATAAAAATATCCTTCCTGATATATGTTAAGGGAATC